TATACAGATATTCTGTATAGTCTCACCACCTTCTCATCTCATCTTTGAGATGGTTGAACAGAATCTCTCCGAAGCTCTAGGTGCTCTTTCTGCCTATTACAGGGAAAACCAGCTGATCCCTAATAAATCTAAAACACAGACATGTGCTTTTAACCACAAGAACAGACAAGCATCCCAAGCTCTGAGGATTACCTGGGAAGGAATCCCACTGGAGCATTGCAGCACACCCAAATATCTGGGAGTCACTCTGGACCGTGCCCTGACCTACAAGAAGCACTGCCTGACTATCAAGCAAAAAGTGGGCACTATAAATAATATCATACAAAAGCTGACTGGCACAACCTGGGGATCACAACCAGATACAGTGAAGACATTTGCCCTTGCGCTATGCTACTCTGCTGCTGAGTATGCATGCCCAGTGTGGAACACATCTCACCACACTAAAACAGTAGATGTGGCTCTTAATGAAACATGTCGCATTATCACGGGGTGTCTGCACCCTACACCACTGGAGAAATTACATTGTTTAGCCGGTATTGCACCACCTGACATCTGCTGGGAAGTAGCAACCAATAGTGAAAGGACCAAGGCAGTGACATCTCCAGCTCATCCCCTGTTTGTATATCAGCCAGCACGTCAATGACTTAAATCAAGAAATAGTTTTCTAAGATCTACAGAGACACTCGCTGAAACACCTCAGCAACTGAGAGTCCAAAAGTGGCAGGCTCAAAGCCAGAACCTCAATCAATGGCTGATACTAAATGAGAGACTCCCCCCTGGGCACACAGAAAACTGGGCGCTGAACACACTGCACTCTGGCACCACAAGATGCAGAGCCAACCTCAAGAAATGGGGCTACAAAGTGGAGTCCATGGCAGGCAAGTGTGGAGAAGAGCAAACTACAGACCACCTGCTGCAATGCCACCCGAGCCCTGCCACATGCACGATGGAGGACCTTCTTGCAGCAACACCAGAGGCACTCCAAGTGGCCAGCTACTGGTCAAAGGACATTTTATCAACTACCAAGCCTGCAATCTTTGTGTTTTGTTTGTTTGTTAAAAAATGCAATGCAACTGTTTGGTCTGCCCCTGGCACGATAAATAAATAACCACCTTCTCTTGATCTCTTCAGTTTCTGTTAGGTCCCTGCCATCTTTGTTTCTTATCATGCCAATTTTTGCCTGAAATTTACCTCCAATGCTTCTAATTTTCTGGAAGAGGTCTCTTGTCCTTCCTATTCTGTTGTCTTCTTCCACTGCCATGCATTGCTTGTTTAAAAATAGTTCCTTATCTCTTCTGGCTAACCTCTGGAATTGTGCATTTAACTGGGCATATCTCCCCTTATCCCTGTTTCCTTTTGCTTTCCTCCTTTCTTGGGCTACTTCCAGTGTCTCAGCAGACAACCATTTTGCCTTCTTGGTTTTCTTTTTCTTTGGGACGTACTTTGTTGCCGCCTCCTGAACAATGTCATGGACTTCTGTCCATAGTTCTTCTGGGTTGATAGTTGAATTGATAGTTGAGTTGAGTTGATATATGAGATGATAGTTGAGTTGATATTTGCTCTGGAACATGTGATACAAGGTTCATATATATAGGGGCTCTACCACACTAGTTCCAAACCGTGTTCACCTGTGGTTTTGCAACCTTGGTATTTTCCTAGACCCTAACAAGGAAAATTTTCAAATGAAAAAAGAATATCAAGATTTTTCTGAAAAACCAAAGAAAAATGTTTCTGACTTTGTGTGTTAATGAGGGTAGAACTGTATGTTTTCTTGGTAAGCTTGGGATCACAAATTTTCACTTGCTCTGACAGTATAGAGTTGGAATGAAAAGGACAAAGAAAACTTTCAACTGGAAGGCTAGGAAACTGATCCCTCTGTTTCCTTTTTGTTATTAAGAAAAACATGTTTTCATGATCTGAAATAAAGTGTACTCCATTGCTATAATTGGAATGGATCAATGGCTCTCTTAGTATCTATTCTTCTTTGTTTCAATTTTATTAGTATGACACATAGTTCTCTCATTATTAGTGAATTCTTTGTTCTCCTTCTCCTTTTATTTTCTTCCATCATTTTATTTTAAACTTCATTCCGTAGCTCCTTCTTGATCTCATTTCTCTGCATGCCTTGTAGAAGTTCTTGCCTCAAAAGGAGAGGGGATTTTAAAAAGTTAAATGTGTTCTATGCATATATATTTTGGAGCACAAATGTGAAGAAGGTGAATGCAGAGAACCACAAGGTGGTCCACAGGGGATCCCTACTCCTCTTCTGATTTTTTTAAACTGAAAAATGCCCCTCAAATCTCCAAGACTATTTTATCAATAACTGTCCCACTATTACAGGTACAAGGGAAGCCCTTTCTCAAAACCAGGGGCTCTAGATAGCATCTTCTATAATTAGTCAGACTGTCTATCATGATGGCTGAGTAGGAAGGGAGATATAATCCTACAAATCTGGTAGATATCAGGGACAGGAAGGATGCCCTGGATGCCTTTTGCAGGGAAGGAACTGGCAGACTGTCTTCTTTCTTTCCTCCTCTCTGTCAATATTCTTGATAAAGAAGTCTTCAAACTTTCAAGCACCTGTGTTTATAGAGCCCCAAGGATCACTTTAATCTCCTTGCTGTCATTAAGCTGAGCTCCAAATTAGAGGTGACTTTTATCATGTATCTTGATCTGCAGTAGCTCTTTTTAATGAATGAACAAATGAGCCAGCAAGCTAGCACAGGGGCCCTGGCAAGGAGAAGGAGATTTAACCCTTTGCCCTTGCTGTCAGTCAGACTGGAATGGATCATGCCATCTGCCAGTTGGAAAGGACTGGAAGCATATGCAGATACAAATAGACCAACAGGCACTCACTCGAAAGCCAGTTGTCTCTTTTCTTGTCATATATTGCCACTGTCCAGTCCCAATATCCAGTGAATCTCTTGAGAGGCAGACACATCTTTTCCACTTTATGGATAGCTAAATGCATATTTATGGAGGTTCTAGCAGGGTAGCACAGCTATCATATACCTGGGATCCAAGACTGGAGACCTTGGTACACTCCTTCTACCTGGGATGGTCAGCCTCTTCCATCAATCACACAACTTGATGAGGGATGCACAGAGGTGGCCCTAGGTAATTTTCAACGGTAAGCAAACAGTATTTTGCCCCCCCCCCCCAACCAATCATTGATATATATTTTCTGTTCGTCGTGGGAGTTCTGTGTGCCATATTTGGTTCAATTCCATCATTGGTGGAGTTCAGAATGCTCTTTGATTGTAGGTGAACTATACATCCCAGTAACTACACTTGCCGCACTTGCTCCCTTGCCTGGCCCGCTTTGGGTCCGGAGGCGTGCCTGAAGTCCTCGGCGTGTGCACCAAAAGTCACCTCTTCTCCTGACTTTCTCCTCAGCCATTGGGACCAAGAGAGAGAGAGAGAGAGAGAGAGAGAGGTGGAGATGCCTACCTTTCCTGAAGGTAGGCGCAAAAACAAAGGAGGGAGCGGAGGTCCCAATGGCTGAAGAGAAAGTCAGGAGAAGAGGCGACTTTTGGTGTGCACGATGGGGTCTTCAGACACACCTCTGGACCTGAAGTGGGCCAGGCACGGCGGCTCTGCCCCTTGGCCACCCGCGGATTGGGGAGAGGAGAGGAGGCGGGTGGAGCACCGGGGGATCGGGAAAGGGAGCCGGTCATGGGGAAGGGATCGAACGCGGAGAACGATTGAGCGCCGGCTCTGCTGCACCCGGTGGCCGGGTGGAGCAGGAACGAGAGGGGCTAGGCGAGGCTCAAGGGCCCGGCCCCTTTGGGAAGAGGATCGCCTGGCAGCGAGGCAAGAAAGCCGAGGCTCCCCCCGGACTGCTAGGGCTGTTGTGAGCTGAGGGGGCGCTCCTCAAGTGGCGGTCGAGGGGCATTTACAGAGGCGCCTCTGCGCCCCTGGCAAAAAAAAGTGTTCTGCGACCGCTTACTTCGCGTAATGGATGAGCCTCCCCTGGGGATGCACATGGAGCATTGAGGGAGGAAGGGACACCTGCCTAGCGAATCATATCAGCCAAATCAACCCTGGCGATCAATGGGGTGAGAAGTGTAATGTTTTAATGTTTTACACTCCAGGTCTGTGGCCGTAGTGATAAAATTCATTCATTCATATCCATGGACACTATGGTAACATTCAGGACAGAGCATTTCACATATTGTGATGTGTAGAACTGTTGATAACTCGTTGTTGGGCAGTTTTGCATTTAAAGTACACCTTAACCCCATGAATAAACTCTCTTCCAAGTCACTGGAAAACTGAAGGAACTATTTTATAATAATCAGAGAAAATGGTGCAAAAGGAGTTAGTGCTTACATCACAGGGAATGTAGAGGGCATATTAAGAGTCAAGAGGGAAAGTATCAGAAGGAAAGGAATTCAAGTGAATGCTCAGCTGTTTGCCCCAGCTAGCTAGCTAGCTAGAATACATACATTAAAGGAGCACTTTTATTTAGACAAAATACAAAATAAAATATAACTTTACATATCTGTTGGGACAGAAATTAATATCTCAAAGTCATGCAATTCTATTTCCTCACTACAAGTTAAGCACTAAGAGTTCCTGAAATTTTCCTGTGCATAGAAAACATAGAGAATTGGGATGTGCCACGAATAATATCTTCTAGAAAGATATAATGTGTTATATAATTATAAGAGTGCGTATCTGATGGATGTTGCATGAACCTTCAGAGGAAATGAAATTGCAATAGAATTCTTGTTTAGGCTGCTGGAAAATGCTGTTATTTTTATTCAAAGAAACTGCATGCATATTACATTTTCTGCACAGCTTTTGGCAAGTGCGTAATGAATCAATGAATTTAAACATTGCAATATTCTCTGAACGGTGAATAAAATCCAGCATATTTCTCAGTAAAATATGTGATTGTTTTAGATTGTTTTTAATGTTAGTTTCCAAAGCATTTCTGTGGAGAATATTCACATGGATAATAACTTATGTATAATTTCGTATGTTTTCTCTGGAAGGTGTATGAGGCAGTCCCATGTTACAGCAAATGCAATCGGTATTCCTGGAAAGTAGAACCATGGTCTCCATGTGAAACCAACAGTGAGCAGAACTCTCTTCTCTGTGGAGATGGAATACAAACTAGGAAAATCAGGTCTGTAGAAATGAAAACAGTAGGACTTGATGCTGGACTATTAAGGAAGTTGAACAGCTATTCTAGAAGCAATGAGGCTCCCATCGACCCATGTTAGTCTGCATCATAATGAAAACATTCAAAGGGAATAGATGGAAAGAAGCTATACAAATATATATGCCAAATCTATAATCAGTCTCAATTGCAATAGAGCCATTGAAACAAAAGGGAGCTATTTGTCACCACTTGGTATTTCTCATTGGCTTTGGTGGATTCAATTTAATTGAGATTAACATTGTTTTTAACTCATGTGTTTATTTAAAGCATATATATATATATATATAAACACATGTGATGTCTACAAGCAGCCTTTTTGACCTACCCTTTGGGAGTGATACATAAAACTAATTCTAGCTTGTGGGGTAGAGATCGTGTCTCATAGGAAGTAAACATACCGTGTTTCTGATTTCACTCAGATGACTTTAGTGCCTTGATTAATACCAGAATTAAAACCAGAATTTTAGTATTATAATAGGAATTAAATATGTTAGATTTGTTGCCTTTCAATTTCTGAATCAGTATGATACATGGGGCAAAACCTATATTAAGAGATAATTAAGAGATTAAGCACTTCCAATTTAATTTCAGTTACATGTATATCAGCTGCTGTATCCATCCCAACTTTTCTCTCTTCTTATTTTTGACTACACTTCCACATATCCTCAGCTGGCTAGCTAGAAACAATGGAGGTAGTGACGGTGGTTGGGATTAGTTGAATAATTAGTTCTACTAACAAAGCACACAAATATGACTGGTTGCAGTTGAACAGGCTGTGGCATAGTTTATAATATATTGGTTTATTTGCTCTTTGTTCATCATTGGTTAGTTGACCAATTACACATTTTTCTCCTGCAGATGCGTAAACACCACTGAAGAGGGTGGTGAAGAAACTGTGGCCAATATGCTATGCAATCAATCTGAAATTCCTGTTGAATCACAGAAATGTATAATCTACTGTCCTGGCGAATGTGTGATGTCTGCCTGGAGCCACTGGAGCCAATGTCCACAGGTAAAATTAATTAGTTCTGTGTTATTTCAGATTCCTTCTGTTTTTCCTTAATGTAAGTTCACACAGGTAGAGAGAACGGCGGTCAACAAATGCAGTAAATAAATAAATAAATCTAAATTCTTCAATATCATCCTTGCAAAAAAAAAAGATGAATAATTGCTATAATTTTCTCTCTACTGTGTGTGGAAACTAACATTTTTTTCACAGTATTTGAGAATTCTAACATGTTCTGGAGGAGAAAAATGAGTGGTGTGGAAGGGAGTATAAAAAATCTAGATAAAAACTTGGTTGTTTGCACAGAAAACACATGTGGACAGAAGTCAATGTTTTCTCTGTGTTTTTAATACAGAAAATCAAGTGGAACATCTTTCAAAACAATAAATAAATAGAAAATATCTCCCATCTCTACACAGAATATGTATACAGTTCTTTGCTACAGTTTTTAAAATGGTAACAATTGTTTTTTCCTCCCACTGTGAGAAAATCTTCCAAAACAATGCAGGTTTTGAAGGCTACTTACAGGTCAGTGCAAAATTCACATATAGTTATTTTACATAGAAAACAACATATTCTGGACATGAATTAATATTTCTTGTTGAAATATTATTTTCCACAAAAATGCTGTTTCCTCTGCAAGGAAAGTTGCTTTCTATTCATAAGAAAGCTGCAATTGGGGATTTGTTGTGTGCACATTTCTCATTTGATTCTTTTGCCCAGGAAACAGCATTTTCTGCACAGAAAACAGCATTTTGTATGGCAAATATTTCTACACAGAAATATCAATTGTTGTTCAGAAAATGCTACTTTCTATACACAAAATATTGTTTTTATGGAAATAATCTATTATTAAGTTTTACACAGAACAAATCCCCGAAGACAGTTTTATTCTGCAAATAAAGCAACATTTTCTGCACAATAATTAATATTGTGAAAGGGGGGGGGGCTTGGTGAATCCTATGCAGTGATTCTGTTTTCTGTACAAAATAAGCACATTAGAATTTAATAGAATAACTGTGAATAACTGCGAAGATCTTTCTTATCAAGATTTCGCAACACTCAAAAAGCATTTGTAAAAATTTCTTCCATTCTTATCAGAGAAGCAGAAACAGCTTAAAAACTCTTAGGTAGGAACTATAGCTCATTAGTAGAGCATCCACTTTGCTTGCAGAAGTCCCAGGTTCGGTCTCTGGGATTGCTAGGTAGGGCAAAGAAATAAACCTATGCAAAAACCCAAAAGAACCTCTATCAGTCTTAATTTATAATATTTATAATATTATAATATTTGGACTTGAAAGGACCAAGGTTATTTGATTTCTTCTTCTTCAGTTCTTAAACAGTAACCTTTCGTGTTCTAAGAAAAGCCGGCTAAATAGAAGGAGACAATAAGATTTTCTAGGGGACTAATTACATCTCTCTACTGGTAAATAGATGGTTGCTGGACGATAGAAGCAATGAGCTGATTTCTGAAGTCTTTTTCTCCTTTTCATTTTTAAAAATGTGTTGAACAGAATAGCCCTAAAGTATCAGCTGATACGGCTTGTCACTTAACACACCCACTGACCGGCCCACCCTGCTGGCATCCATATGAACAGTGCAAATGTCTGCAAGGGGAGTATATTTCCATTTGTAGCAACTTGAGTTCTCAAATCATGCTCCATGTAGATTTTCATGCTGTATGTGCCATTGCTGAAACATGGAACTCACCAGTGTGAGTGATGTTGAGCATGGGTCTGCTTGGTGTGGACCTTCATGTTATGTTGCCTGAACTGAGCTTAATGTGATAACAGAAGACCCATGAGACTGATTAGTAGGTATAAAGATTGCAGATGCATATAGACACAAGCAAAGGCGGTTGCAACTGTGGCAAATGTAATATATGTCAGGACAGAGCATGCATTATCTCAGTGCATAAGTCATACATAGAGAGAGGTTTCATTAATTCATGAATTCATGTTGCTCTTAATATTTATCTTGGTCCACTAAAGTAATTTCAATTATTCTCCCTGGAATGATTCAGTATGCTCATGAGAAAGCTACGGTACATTTGGAAAGGATGGCAAGAAAAAGCCAGCAAATATCTCCAACATCAAAGTGATTTAAATATGGGTATTGCGTATATCTCGTGAGAGACCAATTATAGAATGAGCCATAAAACTATGGATTTTTGCTTGTTTGATAAATATGATGGTTTCCTCAGATTCCAAACTATGGGTGAGCAGAGAATCAAGCCATCTCTGACTGGTAGCAGTTTGTTGACTGTAGCATGTTCGTTGCTGAGAGGAGTGAAACTTTCAAGTAGTTAAGAATTTGATGTGGGTTGACAAAGAATATATAATAGTTAGGTAACATTTCCTAATAAGATTTCAGTGTGAGACATGAAGAATATAGAAATGGTTCTAGATTTTGAGGGAGCATACATTTTCTTTGCATATAGGGAAAACATTTGGGAAGCTTCTAGACTGCAAGGCACACACAGTGTAGAGATTTATAATAATTCAGAGTAGAAACATTGATTAGCATGTTTTCATTGCCTAAAAGTGTAAAAATTAGTCACTGCTGGGAATACTGAAGACAGTTTTTATAGGCATGTTATTACTGACCTAACCTGTCCTGATATGATGGCAAGGTGCTAACGGCATGCATTTTTCCATCAGGCATTTATTTAAAGAACGTGCATGATGTCTGGAAATGCCTTTCTGGTCACTGTGGCAGAGATACTACTTAAAGCTTAAAGACATTTTTGTTTCTGATAAATTGTTAAGATATAAATATTTTATTTCATGATTTGAAAAAAAATCTCCCTAGGTTGAAACACCCATCATTATCGTATTACCACTCAACATATTTTGCACTTACTTGTTTTAAATATACAATCTATTAACATTCCAAAACTGTGAATTGAAGTACATATGTGTGCCATCTACTAGTCCATTAAGCTTGAATATCTAATTTGTAAGCATGCTTAATGTCATTGGCAAATAGAAATGGGTTACAACAGTTCTGAGAGTGAACCACACAGTGATCCTCTCATTAGCTACAAAAATAGGTTGGAGTGAATAGACAGATGGACATATAGAAAAAAAATCCAAGGTGAAAATAATGGGCAAGATGAATAAGCCCTTTTAGGAGATGTGTGGAAAGAGAACGACAGCGAGATATTATATTTGAATAAGAAACTTCTAGAATGGAAAATACACTGTTGAATCTTTCTGTTTATAAGTTCAATTATAGTTGTAAATGCTGGCTATGAGATCATGTATGAAAGGCGATGGTGGAGGATCAGAAGGATGAGGACCACAATTGTTAGGATATAAAAGATTATTTTTTTCCAAAATGAGGAAAGTGGTGGAGTTTTGATAATGCTTCACAGTTTTTTTCTGATCTTTTTTTAGAACTCTCTAAGGATCTCATCACGTTTAAACTTTACAACGCTTAATCAGTATGCATGCCACATTTTTTTTACAACAGGATACATACAGGATCGTGACAGGATGCATACACCCCATCATATACATTTCTTCCTGTTTAAAGTAATCCATTTTTACTCATCACACTATTGAAGCTTTGCTTCTCCCAATTCATTGTAATTTCTGCATACATCACCCCCCCCCCTTTATGGTTTTTTTAAATGTGCAGTAACACTGCGAAATGGAAATCACACAGGTGTAAAAAAAGAACTGAAGACTTCAAAGTAACCGCTTCAGAGGTCTTTTATCATCATGTAATTAGAGACAAATGGGACCACTCACAGACATTCCTCCAAAGGAGACCTCACAGCACAGGGAACAGGATGCTTACTGTTTCACCGATCACACATAAAAGCAGTGCATTTCATGCAATTTATATTTTTAAAAACATGATATGAAACCCATGTCCAAATGCTCTGCTTCTGACACTTTTTGCACATGGTTTCCAACAGGTTGATAACGATAGGAGACACAAATCATTTGATGGGGCCCATCGAGGTTTGTATGCAAATGAGATCAGAAACAAATTTAAGTTGATCAGCTCCTAAGTAAGCTAGTGTTTGATATCATCCTTTTCCTCACTGGATAGATTTGGGGCTGATTTTGTTTTTAGAATTACGCTTCTTTTAGAACAATCTCTTCCCCATTGCCAAAAAAGAAAAATATGCCAAAAGGAGGAACCACGTAAAATAAATACCATCCTCACGCTTCTCATTTACATGAATAAATCCTTTCTGTAGGGTGCTAAGATGAGGCTTAGCTAATTTCTCATGAACATAATATGCAAATCAAATGAAGAAAACATTTTTGGCATAATATAGTGCATCAGAGTCAAGTATATCCAACCCATATTGCAGATGGAAATGTTTCAGGTGTGTCAGCAATTAAATGGCAGAATTCATTAAATCCAGCAGAATTTCTGAGTTTTTAAGTGGTGCCGCTTTTGCAATCTGTTAATAAGATTTTCCTTTCTGCTTTATTATTAGGTAAGAACATAAAACCAAAGTTTGGGCCCTATTCACATTACACAGTTATAGCAAGCTGGTGCTATTTTAATTGTCTCTGGTAGAGATTTCTAAATATCCCTCCTACAGATCCCAGGATTCTTTAAAATGGAACCAAGTCAGTGAGAATGGAACCTTAGTTCTATAACTTCTGTATAAACAGCCTGTAAATCTAATAACTAAATGCTGGACCAAGCATCCAGATAAAGAGACACGAGAATAGATGGAACTGGCAATAAAAAGTAACATTTTCATCAAGCAATCTGAAAGTTTGTCTTTTGTTGTCATATTTTAATCCACTTTGTATTTTAAAAATATAATAGAAAAAGAAAACCTGAGTGAATGTGAATACATTTAACATTTTAAAAATACATTCGGAAACCTTGAGATAAATGCACACGCACACAAAACATGCACACGCACACATGGTGAAGGCCACCATGAGTATGTACACTATATGAAACACAGCAACTTGTAAGGGAAGCAGTCCCACATTCAGCTTCAAAATACAATGCCATTCATTAATGAG